GGTTCATATGCTTCTTTGGCTTCATGACCATTGCTGAGCATCTCAAGAGAACAGTATCCATGCCCCTCATATGCACCCTTTTCTCTACGCATGGAATTTGCTTACTCAACAAGTCAGGTTGGTTGACTTTTAGAGGCCTCATAATTTGCTCACTCGGTCACATCATATGAGCTTCAGTAAAGCAAATGACAGCCTGTTTGACTTAAAAGCACACGTAGTTTCTGTATCTTAATCTCCGTCAATACCATAATTAACTACCATTGTGTGGTGTAATAGAAAACAGCTGTTCTAAAAAAATTAGACTTCAGTTCGAGGACTATTCTGCACTATGACTTTACCTCTTAAGCTGTGTGATCCATCCCATAGATTAGAACCATCAGACCAGTTGATAATACCGTAACACTGATTACTGCACTTGCAGGTACTTCAAATGTCTTCCAAATTTTGATTATTATTGCATCTCAATAAGCATATTTAGATATGCTTATTGAACAATTTTATGCAACAATTTTTTTGTGCACTCAAGTAGCACAAAATAAAAATCAAATGAAGAGAATCATTAAAGGATCCAAAAGATTATCAAATGCTATGTTGTAGAAACTTTCAGAAACAGAGAAGAACACACAACAAAAACAGTAGTGTCACCAGTATCAGATGTTGATCTATAGAATAACATGACAATCAAATTTCACTTCTTTTCAATTTAACATATTCTGAGAGACAATAATTACTAGGAATGGACAATTCATATTTTCACAAACAATCGACGGCAGAACAATTGCAATTGTATAATCCGGCTGTTTCACATATAACTTATATTGTATAATCTGGGCTGTAACCTTTAAAACACAAAGTAGCTTTCAAATGCAGAAACAATTTTGTACAGGCTTTATCCTGACTTAGAGACCCTAAAGTACAAAAGGATCCAGATATATATCCTCAGAACCACAAAACTAGTTAGGTTTTCTTGAAATTTCAGGAAAACATAGCATATCATGGAAACCAGGAAAAATATACAATGTTTGGTGCAACTTTGCATCTACCATTCTGAAAAGCTGTGCACCAACCAGTTAGTTGCCCTTCTTGTTAAAAGACATCCAAAACCTGGAGAACAGTAGGTAACATACTCCAGCTTTGAAAATAATAAAGCACTCTGCTTCAACATGATCTTTTTTTAACAGATTCCAGTTCTCAACACCATAGCTATATATGATGTTATTTAATACCAAAAACTTAGTCAGGCAAATGCGACCAATTAGTTGAAACAAACAGCAAGGCAGCACACTGACATTTGAGGCAAAACAAATTATTATAAGGAGTGAGAGAACACTCACTATGGAGATGCAGCAGCTTCAGGTTAGTTATATTCTCTTATGATCCATAACTGTTATTCAAGCTAGCGATAGGATAAGTATATTGGATGTTGGGCCCAGAACCAGATTTCTCATCTAGAAAAGCCATCTGGCTGGAAGCATGCAAGAGAATTCTCCTTCTGATCTGCCACACCTGAAGCTGTATAAAAGCTTCCAGCAATGTCTTTCTGATTAGCTTTTGTCCTGCTCTTGGTATTCTTTGTGTAATCCACACTGTTGTCTGCTTTGAGCCTCCCCATCTGCTGCTGCAGATCCACAAGTGAATTACTGGTCAACTTGGCTTTGGCACTTTTCTTTGAATCGACGAGTTTGAATTCTAGCCTATATAACGCGAACACTTCACAATCATTGATCTCATATTCATACAGATGCCACTCGTAGTGAGTGAGTGGTTGTGGATCCATGTAATAGGACCTTTTTAAACCCCCATATTCCTTCATTACCTGCTTTCTAGATTCATGCCAACCACGTCCATTATAATCTGGCAGTGACCTTTGCTTCCGGTTACCACTCTCAAATGCTCTCCTTGGCTTGTCGAAAAAAAGCCATTCTCTAAGTGATTCGCCTTCAAGAACACAAAGATCAAATAGATCTGCACCAATACACAAAAATTCTTGGCGATCAGATGAAATTCATTGAAAGGAGGAAAAAAGACTCCACCATCCATTCAGAAAATGGTTCTCAAATGAGTTGACTGGCTGACTTGAAATCATGAACAAAAGAGCAGTATTAAATGTCTCTGAAGATGCGGTACAACCATACCTGGAGCATTCCATGGAGACTTTGAAGTTGCAGCACCTTCACATACTGGAATACCAACATTTTTTCCTTGTACTTTTGCACTAAGAGCAGCAAAAAGTGGACCATCCTTTAGGTTGATACCTCCAGGGCGCAGCACTGGTGTCATACCAGGTGGGCCTTCATTAATTGCTAGAGTGGCATGGAAGCTGCTGCAATAGTCTTGGCACCATTCTGAGCCTTGAGCAGGCCTTGGACAATCCCAAAGAGCACACTTTGGCCTTAAAAATGCAGAAGGTGGAGGGCAAATAGCTGGCAGTACATCTGAAATATGGGGGAACACATCTTGGGTGTTCTGCTCAGTAGGGTTGATATAAAGATCATGCGACAGTTCTTGATGCATATTGTATTGCTGATAATCAAAATGATATGGCCCTTCCAGGCAGGTCACAGCAGCATCATGAGCCCCATTGGGGTGGTTGCTTTCATAGTGATCAGCATACAGGAATTCCTGTTCAGCCACTTCCTGATTCATATGGTACTGCAAGAAGCCAATTTGACAACTTTCAATTGCCACAATCACCAACATAAATTGACAAAAAGTGAATTAGCATGTTATTGAAATATATATACCCATACCATAGAGAGAGTGAAATGTACTATATTGTTTGACTGTATCCTGACAAATTGTTCAAAATAAAAAAATCCTATTGTCACGAGTCAAGGACTACCAGGGAGGATGTTTGAACTGTCAGAAATTTGTCTGAGTTCTTAATGACTAGAACATGAAATGCAAACATCACAAAACAACAAGAAAACTTAAGTGATAAAACTCACAACTGAAAACCCAGAGCTTTCAATTTCCATTATTATAAGAACCCAAGGAGGAAAATCTGCACAAAATAAGCCAAAATTTTGTGCACGTTTTCTAAGAACACTGCCCAATATGTGTATGACAATTTTGGATGATAAGCAACATCAGATGTACATATTTGTCAGAGAGATTATTATATTTTGGGTACAAGTTTATATCAAAAGTACGATGTCACATGTTGCATAAAAAAAAACAAGTTTTAAGTTAAATAAAAGTAAAATTAAATGAACTCAAATCAAATCCAGAAGCAAGAGGGCCAGAGGTCAGAAAGTTCCTCTCAAGCACTCTAACTAAACTAGAGTTAAAAACCAGCTAGACTTTAATGAGCAACTCGAACTCGAACCACTTGCCGACACAAGATTCATCCACTTAAAAAGCATTTGAGATAAGCCCAGACAGCCCACAGATTTTTGAAGCATTAAGAAGCCTTACACAAACAGGACCGAGTTAGTTTGTGTTTGGCTCGTTAAGAGCTCGATTCACCAGCTCAACTTCAAGCCCATTCATCTCAGCCCACAGTTATTTTGACCAATCCAAGCCCATCAATCTCAGCTGTTAACTATTTGAACTTTAATCTTAGTCATTTATTTGTTCTAATGGCTGAGATAAAATTTATATAAGTTAGGGCCTGCAATCTTTCTCAAGTTTTCTTTGTGGCGGTGAAACAGGACTCCCTCCCTCTCTCTCTCTCTCTCTCACACACACACACACACACACAATCTCTCCTCACTCTCCTCTGTCTTGCTCTATGCAATCCTGCTCCTCTTCCTTCTTTGTGTTCTTAGACACCATCATCATTGCCACTGGGCTAATTGCTGCCACCTCCTAAGACCTTTGAAACTGTCAGCGGCAGAATCCACACTGGAAATCAATAATCCATGCACTTATTTGATAGGAATATTTACACCTGCTATATGGGGTATAATAATGCAGATTTTTCATTGTGTTTTGAACCCTAAAACTGATATAATCAAGAAAGCGTCAAATGCTGCTAGACTTAGAATCCCAGATTCTGTTTCGGTAACTTTGGGGCAATGAAAAGTGCATGAAAATTATATTATTGTCACAAAAGAAATTTAGGATCTTTAAACTGTTTTATCAAGTTGCTTGTCTTAAGAACTAGTTAGTTATACTATGAAAGATCACATGGAAGCCAGAAGCTGGTGTCAGACAATGTCACATTAATGGCCTTACAAAATCTTCCTCAATATTCTGAATAGCACTTGAACTAGGCAGCCAGAGATACTGCTTATAATCTAAACCAAAGAAAGACTATATAGACAGAAAGAAATAACTTAAAACACATGCACAAAGACAGTTAAAAATTAACAAAAATAATTATTTCTGAGCAAATGAAATAATGATGACAATCAATCATCTATCAGGAACATCTGTAATTATATGAGTTAGATGGTAAGTGAAACTCTACCTAATAAGAAGTTGAAACTAACAACTAATCACTTATATCTCATAATCTAGCTAGGTCAAGTGATCAAAGAAACAGCAACAGAGATAATGTGATGCCTGGTGCTTCCACACCTAGAGGGATATCAACACTAAATCTACCGGGTCTCATGAGCCAAAAGTAACAGACTGGAAAGGTTACATCACACCTCCTAAGGAAACAAGAAAGATAACATGATGCCTGGAACTTCCCCACCTCAATCAATAATCAACACTGAATCCAGCGGTAATGGACTGGATAGGGTACATCATCCTCCTAGGATGTTACTTAAATAGCTCGTTATGAATAGGAGACTAGCAAACTGACTCATTTATATGGTTATCTCACAAAGTGACATACAAATCATACAAACACCTTTCTGACCACTGCATATAAGAACAATAAAAAAGAAACAACATGAATATCAGATGCCAACTGCATACAAACTCAAATCAAATCTAAACCCCTTGTTGGTTTCACCATGGGCACCTCTTTAAGAGACTCCAATGCACCATTCATGTGGCCAAGTGGAATAAAAAAAGGGTAATTTTGAATCTTAAAGGATTTGCCTTGCATGGATTAGCAGATTTTCCTTAAGATAGAAATACACCACAACGTGTGAGAAAATGAATTGTCAAAAACAATAAGCATGGTTATGTAGGACAAAGAAAGTGGAATTGATTGTTCCACTTTCCTTGAAACTAGTTAGGACCCCAACTCTAATCAATGATTTATGCACTTAGAAAGAGTGGAATTGATTGTTCCATTCTAGCAGTCCTAAGAACTATCCACAATCCATAAAATTCAGATTAGCAAAGTGTGTTGTCATTTTTCCTTTCTTCGCTTTTCTATGTAAATAAATGTTGCTATGCACAATGTTAAATGTTAGAATGCTGATTGGTCCAAGAATGCTCACAACAACTCCAAATAAAACACCTCCCAGATATGATGAGAAATGATGTGTTAGTAAATGAGAAAGAAAGGACATAAAAATTCTTTCATCAAGCATCAGTATGAAACAATTACTGAATTGATGTTGCTAACACTCATCTGCTTAAACTGAGAATGCAGTCTGATGAAGGGAACAGAAAAGATAAATATATTCATAATCTTATCTACAATTAGACAATGACTTGAGTAATCTCATCTATACTTTTATAAGGACTGACTAAAAAGCTGTCATACTTGATCAACTAAACTTGCACCAAATGGTCCTTGTCTTGTGTCAAAGGAAATGGTTTTTCATGTCACGCTGTTAGATTTACCAAATTGGCAATTCTTCATTGTTCTTGAGAATTCTGAAGCATTCTCTTAAACTAATGACGTTTTGATGTTAGAGCTTGCATCAACGTTTTTTTCACTCTATTCATGTAACTTTCTTCTTTCCCTAAAGTTCCACTGAAATTGTAGATTCTATTCTCCAACTAAAACCGTGACAGTAACAAAATTGGATTTTATTAATATATTTATTCAAATGCACAATTACCATATTTAATTGCACGACGAAAACAAATATTTTATTGATATACAATAGAAAACAACATTCAGGCTTCAGATCATATTCACCTCTTGATAGAAGGTAGCAGCCTCTCTACCTTGCGTGGCTCCAACATCAGCTTGTTGGAACTCCACCTGTTCAGGCTTTGGAGTGTTCCTGAATGCCAAATCGGCCAGCTTGCTCGTTGCGTCATCCTCCTCCTCGCTCAGCTGCAACAGCCGAAGAGTCTCCGAGAACAGATCCGAAGTGTCGGGGGTGTTCGCCTGTCCACCCAGAATCAACCACGACTCCAACTGACCGAACAAACCAACAGAAAAACCGAAGACGGAAACAAAAATAGGGGCTTTTAGATTGGATTACCTGCAGGGAGGTCGCGGGGGATGCCTGATTGAGTTCGGCCCTCCACTCGCGGAGCATCTGGTGGACCTGCTCCTCGAGGACGGCGACGTCGGCGGCGCGGCTCTCCTTGAGGGCGGACTGGAGGTCGGTGAACATCTCCTGGAGGTCGTCCACCCGGTTCCTGGCCTTGTCCTTGAAAAGCTGGTGCGAGACCGACTTGGAACCCTTCCCCATGGCGGCCGATCGAGCGATCAGGTGCGTGATCGGGGAAGGGGAATCGAGGGTGAAACCCTGAAACTGGGAATTGGTAGTGGAATCGAGGAGCTCGGGTTGAGGGCAAGAGAAGAGAATCGAGGAGGAGAAGGAAGAAGAAAAAGAGACGCTTTAATCGATCATCAACATTGAAAGATGGAAGCAAGCAGCCGAGAGAAAGGCAACAGGGGACGCGGCAAAAGGGAAAGGTATTAATACAGGCCGCTGGTAACAGCGGCAGATAAATGTTTTCTCCGTGGTTTAACTCTGTAATTAATCTTTTATATAGGTATAGTACCAAACGACGCCTCCCCAACTCTCTCTCACCTTACGTGGCAGTCCAACGGAGCCGCCCTAACATCATATTTTCTGTGGGCCCCTTTCCAAACGTTAGTCTTTCGACAAGTAATTGAAGTTACTGAAAGGGCCAAAAGGTTTGCTTGACTTCGTAGAAAAGACTTGCAGGTCTAAATTGACAGCCCTGGAAGTCCATGGACACGGTGGCGACCATATATTGGCTTTTTTTTTTTTTTTTCTGATTCAGTCTCGTAAAGGACTAAAATGAAGATGCCTACAGTAAGATCTCCTGGATGGTAGAGTAAGTTTTTTTTATTTGTTGTGGATATAAAGAACTCATAATGAGTTTCATAATTAATTTTAAATTATAAAAAATACATTACTCTTTCAATAGAATTAATTTTACCATCATTGATTTAATAAGAAAATACCCTTCTAGATGCTATGTTATTATAGCATACATTCAAAAATCAAACATAAATATTATCTTAAATAGTAGGGGTAATTATAGATTACCTCCTATAATTAATTATGATTAGTATCTCGATTCTTATATTTTAAAATATAGCATTTAGATCTTTACATTTACAAAGGTGAAACGTTTAATCTCGATTCTTCTTACATCGTTAATTTCGGAAAAAATCATCACTTGTTGTCAAGTACAAAAAAAATACTAATAAAAAAAATTAAAATATATTTTTATTATTTTAAAATTTATTAAATTTATATCGACTTCTCGCTCTAATTGATTTTTCCTCCTGTCCTCTTTCCGTTCCGTTTTTTTTACTTACTTACCCGTCACTCATTTGCCGTACAATTGGGTGCATTTGCTACAGTGCCATAGCATATGAACCGTTACCAACAAAGACATGAGAGGACCTTCTTGCATACTTTTTGTCAGCAAATACCACCATAAATCCTTCACTATTGATCTGGAAAGCAAAGAAGTAATATCTGGTTGATGATGCATATTTCTAATAATATAAGAACAGATTTAATACAATATTCGAAGTGAAATTAAATATATTTATCAACCCGGTTAAGATATTAGATTCATATATATATATATATATATATATATATATATATATATATATATATATATATATATATCAAAATAGAGGAGATAAAAAAGGGGGATGAATCGAATATTGGGGTTGGTGGTGGTGGTGGTAACAATGAGGAGAGAGATCTCATCAACCTTGGGGTGAAAGATGGCAAGCTGAGCGCCATGGGAGGAGAGGGAGAGGCGACTGTCACAAAGGGATAGTTGCAAGCTCTAGTTGAGGAGGAACAAGTCCAGATTGAAGAAGACAATTCCAAAGGTGAAGCCGTCCTATCGTTGGACCTTGGTGTTGACACATGGCTGGAACACTGAGTTTTTGTTGGGTCAATTTTGAAATAGAGACGCATAGGCAGTAAACTTCTCTGACAATGACGAGACCGCCATCGACCAAGGCAGGGTTGATGAGGTGACTAGTGAACAAGTGCGGCAAGCGAGTAGGGTACAGTAGGCGAGCTAGGTCCGTTGCGATAGTAACGAGAGGTGTAGGAGAGGCAATGGTCGAGCGGTGCAGGAGCGACGACAACGAATGTTACAGGTGCAACGATGGTTAAGTGGTGCAAGAGCGATATAAGTCGAACGGGTGTAGTGAGCGAGCGGCAAAAAGAAGGTAAGAAGAGAGGAAGAGAAATCGGTTAAGGTGAGAAGTGGATATAAATTTAATAATTTAAAAATAATAAAATTATATTTTTATCCTTTTTATTTGTGTTTTTTTTGCTCGTGACAATAAGTGCTATTTTTTCCATCGATGAAATTGACGACATAAGAAGAATTGAGATTAAATATTTTACCTTCGTAAGTGTTGAGAGACCCCATCCTACTTATTAAAGTATAGCAATTGGGATGTTAACCATAGTTAACTGTAGGAGTAATTTATAATTGCTCCTATTTAGCATCGATCATAACCGTTGAAGAAATAGTCCAAGTGCCACGTTGATATAGTATCAATTATATAACTATCGGTTTAATAAAAGAATAGTTCAAGTGCTTGTTTGTCATGTTTAGAATTTGAGGTAGGATGTTCAACGCGCGTTTGATTGTATTCTACGTTTCAAGAACTAAATTAAAAATTTTGAGGGTTTCCCTTCTAATTTCGAACACCTAAGATGTTTGTTTTGGCAGGACTAAAGTTTATCAGCTGAATTCAGCCAAAGCTATCGTTTGGCTTAGCCATATATAGACATCTTCCTTTCCTAACTTTGTGGTACCCATCATAAACACCACTAGAAGAAACGGTAGAAAGAGCCAACAGCACCAGACTGACCGTATATATGCACTGTATAATTGTCACATATATTTCAAGGTTTTTTTCTTCACTCTTTGATGAAAAACAATGTATTGAAAGCTTAGTTAAGTTGGTGAAGAGGATGCCTGAGTACTGTTTCAAGGTTTTTTTCTTCACATATATTTGGAACATGGATTAATTTGGAACATGGATTAATATTTGGAACATGGATGAAAAACAATGTTCCAAATATATATTTCAAGGTTTTTTTCTTCACATATATTTGGAACATGGATTAATTGCTGGCTCTCAGTACTGTTTGACCCAGTAGTGATCAGTACAGCTATCACTGATCTGCATTCACATTCAGATGCAGTCTTATTTGGGTTAGCAAAAAGTTTACTATTTTAGTCAACTGCTTAGGTGGTGTGGTGGTGGTCGAGTCAAAGATTTAGTTGAATGGATGAATATTTGAGATCTGGTGTCTTCCATTTCAACTAATCAATGTACGCATTCTTTTAGTTCTTCGCTAAATCTACTAATCAATGTACACAAGGGTTGGTAGGTAGCACATCTTTTCCGTTCGACTTTGATAAAAGATGCTTCCAGCTGATCTGTGCCACATTAATTTGACTTGTTGGAATTGTTTCCTTCATGTGTCATCACATGAACACCCAAGAAAGAGTTTGTGTGATTTGCACATGCCCGTGTCACTTTCCTCTTGACTCATTAAATGGAAAACCAATGAAAACCCTAAATGGAGGCTGCAACGAATGAATCATCATGTATTAATGAGGAGGAAATTAACAAAGGAAGAATCTGATGAAGAAAACTCAGTACATGAATGTAAGTAGATAAAGTCGGAGAAGAGCACAACAATGAAGGAGAACACTCGACGAATCCATGCCAAGCAATGATACAGTGGAGTAGGTAGCTCCGACTCCTACAGCAGATTACCAGCTGCAATGCCTAAGACACCAACCGCCGCGATGAAGCTCCACCCTACTCCCCTTCCCTTCAAGCTCGCCCCGGAACGGGTGCTGCCCTCGGAGGGCGAATCAGCACCTTCTCCGGCGGACGAGGAAGGTGGGGAGTTGGGTTTCTTCGTCGACGGCGCTGGGGCCGCTGCCGGAGGCTGTGGGCCGAAGATCTCGTACGGCAGCAGCACCTTCTCGACGGGGTAGACGGCGAGGGGGAATTCGGAGTAGAGCGGAGTGTTGATGGCCGTCTCGACGACGCCGGTGGAGACGTTGGCCTGATTGCTCGTCGTGGTGGTCACGTTGAGCTTGAACACGCCGGTCTTCCCCGACGCCTGCGTCGGCAGCGGGTTGCTCGCGGTCTGGAAAATGGTCAGGCTATAGTAGCGCGGGAGGACGTGGTAGAGCACGAGCTCGACCTGCTCTTGCTGGTTGAGGCTGTTGAGCGTGCCGGCCTTGAGACCGCCGAAGGCGTTGTCGGTGGGGGCGAAGACGGTGAGGCCATTGAAGCTGTTGTTGAGCTGGCTGTTGAGCTGCTCGTCCACCCGGGTCTGCTGCAGGAGGCGTATGAAGGAGTTGAAATTCCCGCCCTTGACGAGGATGGCGGTGAGGTTGAGCGGTCCGGCAGGGGCCGGCGCAGCGGCGGCCGGCTGGGATCGCACCAGGGGCGCGGTCAAGAGAAGCAATGTGGCGAAGCTGAGCACCGCGGAGACTGATGACGAGGCCATGGAGTATGAGGTGGTGGTGAGGGGCAGTGGAAGGAGGCCGGAGGGTCGCATGGTATATAAGAAAGAGAGGGAGAGTATAGCGAGGCTGGAATTAGCTGGCTTTTGGATCCATCTTCAATGCTGAGCACTTGCAATTAAACAATACCTGAGAGAGATTACATGTAGTTGGAACATATTTTTCTTGAAAGAAAGAGAGAAAAAGAATGATGCCTTCAAGTCATTTATGTATTCAAGAGAAGAGATTGCATGTGCAATGAAAAATGAAAAAGAAAGGAATTCTGATAGAATGCTTGGGAGGAGATAAACAAAGAATTCAACGAGTAGTTCTACCTAAACAGCAAAGAAAACTATGTATCATTGATGTTGATGGCTGGTTCCAATTCAAAGCATCAATGTCATCGGGTACGACATCATTTTCAAGGAGACCTTGTTTTCCTTGTGCATCCTGCAAGCATGTCTACACAATGCCACTCTGAATCCATGACTTGGTTTGGAGTCGAGATCTTCTTTTCTGGAGTAAGAGATGACTTGCTTTAAAAACTGGAGAAGGTGGAAGCTTGAATGATATAAGAGCATTATTAGTTGATTGATATGATACAGGCAGCCTGTAGTATCCAGGCAGCTTAGCTAAGCTGCCTGGAGTCACCAACCAACCTGCAGCTGTCAGTTATTCTTTTTCTGCGTTCTCTCCGTTCTTATATTAATCAGAAACAACCCTAACCACTTGGTGCTCTCCCTGCATGCATGCTGCGAAATAGAAAAAGAGTCCAAGTCATGATCGGCAACAATGGGCTTAATTAATTATTGGCAGATATATATCAGATCATATCATATCAATCAATGAGACTGAGACATCTGATTCAAGTCCTACTTCAATTAAGTTCAAACTTACTTCAAATTATCCTCAAACTCAATTCAAATTTGACTAACTAAAACCTAAGCTCAAAGCTTATGTTCAAACTCGACCCCAGATTGGAGTTAATTTTGAGTCCAAATGAGATTCCTTTAATGGTATCTAACAATTAAAGTCTTAAGTGAGTCGTGCTTAAATCCATAACTTAAAGAAATCAAGAACATAGTTTAGCCTTTGAGTTCAAAGTCCAATTGAATTCGATCATAAATTTCCATGCTCCGGTTAACCAAAATAAATAAAGAATAATATTGTTCATAAAATTATTCAATAACTTGTTGTACTTTAAATTGTTCAAGTCAGCTACTTGCGATTACTTAATGTGCATAATGATATTACTCGATCAATTTAGGGATCCATAAACGATTTGACCGTTTAAGGGTTCGCGGTTAGGTTTCGTGATTCGTGTTTTTAAGGGTTGCCTCGGAAGCTTCAAACCCAGAACATGTGATGATACCAACATAGAAGTTGATGCTTAGCACTGATGCGGAGCGTTGACGAAAAAAATTCAAGGAAGAAAAATAATGGGCGATTTCGATAGAAACTATCTATTTTTCAAATAATATCTTTAATTAAATCATATACAAACTATCCCTCCACCGTCGCTTGTCGTCGTCTGCTGTCCGTGGCCCACCGTCCGCAAGAGAAAGAGAAGGGAGAAGGAAAGAAGAGAAAGAGACAGAAAAAAAAGCTGAGAAGATAAAGGAGGAAGAAGGGGGAAAGCTATGATGATACTGGGAGAGGGGTAACCAAGGACGGACAGTTTTTTTACAAATTTTTTAACTTGAGGTATTTATTGTTCGAGAAATATTAAAATAAGATACTGTTTAAAAAAAATATATATATATATATCTAAATATACAAAAATTATGAGATATCATGAAAAATTAATTTTTTATATATTTCATAAAATTTTCCAGATATTTCTGCCACAAATAATTTTCTTCTCCACAACATTTGCACAAACCCACAATAAATTTAATTTGGTAGGAACGCAAAAAAATTAAATTAAGTGCGCACACACATATATATCTTAAAAACTTAAATTTAAAATTTATCTTAGTTGCCAATCGACCATTAAATATATACGTATATATGTATGTCATTTCATTTTAGACTAGTCAATTTTAAATAATGGCTAACCTGAATTTTTTGAATTAATTGGGATAATAGGACAAATTAAGATGTACAAGGGCATCTATGTAATTCTATGCAATGAAGGGTTAGACGTGTAAATTGATTTACCTAAGAGAACGGGAACCTCCTTATCCGGGCCGACCCAAATCCCTCGCCGCTCCCTTCGCCTTCCCCGTCCCGCTCGGACGAAGCCCGCTTGCTCCGCCTGACATGATCGTTGCCGTTGCCGCCCGTAGGTTGCTCGGCCGGTCGCTTTCCCTCCGGCCCACTGTTGCTGCGAGGATCGGGGCCTCCCGCCCTTCCCTCCGCCCGCTCCCCAGGTCGAGGCCGGCGGCCACTGCCTCTCGGTTCCCAAGGTATCGGATCCCGTTCTTATAGCGATTCGATCTTGATCTTTTACTTTCTCGCCTCTGTCTTGCTTTGGGCGACGATGCTTATCTGTTCTTGAAAATGTAAGGTCTCCCGTTGAGACAAGCTTCTGTTTGGAGTCCCTGCTGCCGATACACAACGCCACGGCCTCGGCATTGATGACATCAATGCTCACCATTTCCCGCAGAGGTTCTGGGTGGCTTTCTGAAGGTAAACTCCAAACCCTTCTTTGGCTGCATTACGCTAATCTTCTTGTAATGGTGGTTGCATCCAATTGCTTTCAGCGATTTGTTTTCTTGTATTTGCAAGTTAATCGCCAGTTATCATAGATGTAAATTGATTATTTGTTCTTCATTTAATGAATCACCTATAATTGCATCGTTTTCGGCTTGTTCTTTGGTTTCTTCTGGTGATGCTACTCTGCCACCTTCTGAGTTAATGGCTATATACTTATGTGATCCGTTGTGTCTTTCGTGGTTATGGATAAGTTTCTGCTTGCAGAGGAATTAAGCAAAGGTCTACTAGGCATTCTTCTCTTCTGTTGGAATTTATGTGAAAAATCTTTAGTATTTGTGAGCGACCAATCAAATGATTACTAATAGTTAGTACTTCTTTGAGTCTTGCCTACTTTTGTGCCTCAAGGTTAACACTACAAGGGAAAAAGAAAGAAAATACACATCATGGAGGTGAATTTCCTTGCTGTGAGATGCATTTCATTTCCCAGAAAAGAATTTATGGACATTTTAATATTAGTTATTACATTATAGTGATGGTTTTTAAATTATTTCAAACCATAAGGACGAGATTTGCAAAAGCAGATAAGTAGCTTATATTGTATTCTTTATGGTTGCCTATGGACTCCAAGTGAAAATAAGAAGGCTTTATAGAGTATAAAAGTGATAGAGATAAAATCATCTAAGATGCATAGGTATGTGAACTTGTTAATATGAATATTTGTATATATAAGGGTGCTAGATCCTTCTTGGTTATAGCTCTCTTTCTTGTAGAGTATGTTGGCCATGTTGAAGTCTTATATTATGTCACATCTCTTTATGATTGATTCGATCAGATTAATCTCTTTGGTGCCATAATTTAGATTTTTTTCTTTCTTTTCTTTTTTGTTTAAAGTAAAAAAAGTCATACTGATTTTTCTACATTCAACCAGCTGGGAAGAATGATGACGTGTGACAATTACTAGGTGGAATCTAGCAAATAATTTATCTGATCTTCTCAGAAATACAGGTTGGCATAATGAAAATTTTATCTTTTTCTTGGTTAAATATCTAGTTATGTTGTTCACCTTCTGATTGATTTGGCTATTTTCCAAGATCAATTTTCTAGAGGATTAAGCACCTATATCTGGTCTGGAGCAAGAACTATAAATAAACATGTGTAATCATGTTCTATATATTTTTTTTACTTGGGCGGTTGGACCAATGCTTAGCTTATGGGCTTTAGATGGTAAAAGTGAACAATCGTTTTAGTAAACTGCAATAAAAAAAATAAAGATATTGCTTTTTGTAGTAATAATCCCCTATTAGTGACTCGCCCCAAATTTCAGTAATGGTAGAATGATAGTGAATAATAGATATCCAGAATAGCAGACCTTGCATTGTAGAGAACATATGTCCTATCGGAGGGCTTGTTTGTAATTTTTGGATTGGGGATGTTCTGCTTGAATGGAAACATGCACTTGTTGTATGTACTGGAGGGGACTTTTGGTAGCTTATGCCTGAAGTTCTTTTTTTCTGACTGTCAATGCAAGTGTTTTTTAGATTTCCTCTTACTGGGAAATGGGAATCATATAAATGCAAGTGTTCACTGTCATTCTAGGTTCACAATTAAATTGAACTTCTGCATCATTTGAGATGCCATTGGCAAAAGACTTTCTTTTTTCGACTAAGTGACCTAGGCTTCAGAACTATAATGTCTTTGCTTTCCTTGAATATATGTATATTTCTTTTAAGTTCAAGATGACTCATCCTCTAAAATATTAAGTCTAGGCCAAAAGCTTGTTCCCTTTGTGTGACGATTGCAGTGCTGTATTTTTGAACTCTTAATTTGATGTATCAGCAAATTTAAGGAATATACTGATATATTGTATTTACATCAGCTGGCAATGATGGTGTATGATGACTATCCAGTGGGTCCAAGCAATAATTTGGTTTCAGAACTTCCTGCTTATTAAGACAAAGGTAGCTTGTTAAGACATGGAAGGAACTCACATTGGTTTTGTGAATTTCAGCTAGATGAACCACTAAAGGTTCTTCCCCATCTTGTTGTTCTCAAGATTTTCTATATTGTTTGTTAGTTTTATGGTCTTCAGATATTCTCAACATATCTTCCTCATCTTCCGGCATGCTTCCACAACAAAAAAAAAAAAAGGTGTCATTTGCATTCTTATTTATCATGCTGGTGCCTGATTTTTGTTAATTGTTGTCTCATCAGTATCAACAGCTTAATTTTTGAAATAATGTCATAATTATTGGACGATTCACATTGGAAATGCTTCTTTTTTTTCTTTGTCAAACATCAATGTTGAATTGAATCCAGTTGCCTTGTGTTTTTGCTTATTCTGTTTGTTGGATCTATGAGATGTGTTTCTGATATCTTGTATTTGCTAGCTGACAATCGCTGGTTAATTTAGTTGTGATTTGTGGAAACTTGGTGATTTCTCATTTGTTTTGGTCTGCTGTTTCTTATCATGAAAGGCTTTTGAACTGGAATTACTGTCTCTCTTGCTATTTTATCCCCTTGATGCCACAACTTTTTTTTTTATTTATCTGAATCGAAGTTTTATTGTAAATGAAAATTCTGCATTGTTGTTTACTATGATTATGGTGATCTTTCCACATTTGAAGTTGTAGCTTAGAGAGTTTGTCTTGTATTGCAGATGGATGAGTCTTAATTTATTTGAGGACGCTGCACTGGACATGGAATTGTGGATTTCTTGGTAGTGGAAGATTTTCTTGGAGCAATTTATTCCTTTTACTATTGGTTTCATCTATTGGACAGGATTAAATGGTATGAATAAAGTGATACTAGTTGGAAACTTGCAATTTTGGCTGTCTTTTTTCTGTGGGATTTTGCAGCAACAAAGCAGAATGTTATCTTGAACAGTCACAACATTAACATCATCAGTTAGCTCAGTTAGCTGGTGATTTGCATTAGGCTGTAACTGAACTATGTTAAGCAAAGTGATATATTATCACAGATAAAATTATAAACGAGGTGTTTGATGTAATGTTCATATATGTTCGTATCTTTCGATTTTGTTCATGTTTTGAACAACATGTAGAGGGTTGAAAATAGACTTGAAAATAGACTTGCTAGTCATATTTTGGTTGGTTTTGATGATCATTTTAAGCCTATGAACGAAGGTTGTGTCATATGAGCACTTGTGGGCATTTCAGTTTATAGTGGATCATGTTGGAACCTTTGTTATGCGATCGTTTAGAACTTATGAAGTTTATGTTTGTAATTTGTATTGGTTATGAAATGTTTGTTGAAATGGTTGCTTGTAGATCCCGAGTGAAATGTTTTCTCTAATTTGTTTTATCTTTTGTATGTCTCAAGGGATTATATGAGATTTCGGGGGGATTGACCTTTGTAGATAGAATCGTAATAGTGTTGCATGACTTAGACAAAACCAGTTAAGTTCGTGACATTTGGTCTCAGAGCGAGATAAGCACATATAGAAAACAATTTATATATGAATGAATTCGGTGCCCTTATAGAGTCCAACAAACATAGATATGTTATAACTAGTTATAACTAAGTCGATATGTTATAACTAGTTATAACTAAGTCTTTTTGGACGGTAGGGCTGCAAAGGGGAAATGACTCTTCTCTTATAGCTAATTATCTAAAAAAACTCCCACCCTTTATAGCATTTTCAATGCATTTGGATGAGAAACTGTTTCTGCTCCATAATAGGTTGAGTCAACTAATCATTCAACTACTTTCCCTAATGCACTTAGTCTTGCTTGATAACATGTAAATGTGGGAGACCTAGTGGGGCTGCGTTGAGGGTAGCCGGTATGTGCGATTGTTTGGGAGGGAAACGAGCATGGAAATGTAGGGAAATGAGTCGCTTAGAAGAGTAGACATTTGATATTGCTATTCAGAGGAATGACCAACGTTCGCGTGAGAGGCATCACGAGGACAAGCAAGCTGGGAAGAATGCATAGCGCACAAAGGTTGGGATGGTTGAGTTCGAGTTACGACTCAACGTTAGCAATTATACTTGATGGTGCTCAAAGTGAGCGGGGCACTTGGTAAAGGGTGAGATCGTGTAAAGTGGGATGAGTTACTTAGTGACTGAAAGAGTTGTGTAAAGCTCATAGAAATGAGGGGAATTGTTAACTCGAAAAATTCATTACTCATGTAAGGGCTTGTATGCGGACGATGGAATATTTGTGGACATCCCAAGGCGACCGAGACTCGATGTCATGGAGCATTGAAACTTTCTCTTCGATATGTGAAGGATATGTTCGTAAGAGGCTGAAGTGTGTACCGAGTTCATTATGTTGTTAGGTCTTGAGGGGTGCAACAGGGGTTGTACTGGCGAGGAGTCGTAATCTAGCAAGTGTGTTTGCGGGGACAGAATAATGCACAGTTTGTTTAGCAAGGCGGAGTAGTCCAAGGGGATGGTGGCTTTCGAAACTTCTATATGAAAGGATGCGAAGAGAGAAATTGCTCTAATGGGACAAATATTCAGGAGGGATAAATCCCGGTTCTCTAGAGGGAGAATCATGTGCAACGAACCATACATGTTGAAGAGTACCTCAAGACAGCAACTCCACAAAGCTTAACGGATCGAGCGAGCAGTGAGGAGTCATTGCATGATCTTGTATAAGGTAATGCATTGGTGGATGCATTGCGAGATCAAATGGAGCAGCGACCCAAGGCAACACCAAATGAAGGCACACTTGCAGTCGATATGGAGATTGAATTCAACGGAGGGTTGACCCGTGGAATGGTGGGCGCGAGGGCCACCATCAACTCAATGCAAACCAAGGAGCGGAGTAACTTGAGTGTAAATTGGTGAAGTACCCAAGCCACATGAAGGGAGTCGACATAGAATATGAAACATGGAGTGGAGGCACGAAGCTTTCTTTGGACAAAGGTAACGGACATGAACTCTTGCAGAGGTAAGAACGAGATCATGTCGTTCCATGGGACCTTCATTTTGATGGAGCAGACCCATCTTGCATAGTGCCAAAGACAAAGGGAGCTTTGAGGCACATGCACCTTATCTCGGAGAAGTATTTGACGGAGGGACCAACACGACTCAACTTGTGGAGGTGAAGTTGGGGTCAGAAGGCCTTGATACGAGGCAAGAGGACGCAAAGACGTGTACTCTTGAAGAATATGCATAGTGTTGTCATTCGAGTTGACATGAAGGAAGTGGTGCATAATGGAGATTGTGCTGGTGGGGGCAAAGACCTAGGATCCAAACAATGGTGCGCACCAATTTCAATGAAGTCTGTGGACTTCGGGAGCTGCTAGGTGATGGATTGTCCTAGAGCTGTGTTCGTCTAGGTGTGACCCGAGAGCGGGTGGATGAAGGTCGATTGTCGAAGGAGCAAACATAATCGAAGGTGGAAGAGGCCCTGTGATGTGTTGGTAAAGGCAACATATGGAGGGATTGTAATCCGAGTTCATCCCATAATGATCAGAATGCAATGAAGATATTACCAAGATGTGACATGGTGTAGTGGATCATGGTGGAATAGTTCGTGGCAATGCGATAGATAGACAACTAGTCCCGTGAGGGACTAGATCATACAAAGGTATGATCGGGAGCTACTGAGAGAGCTCCATTTTGGTGAACAATACGATGACAAGAAGGGCTATGAATTTAAGGAACGAATGTCATGGTATCGTAGAGGCATGTCTTTCGTTTGTTTATCGAATTCTGCATCGGATCAAAGCCTTGGTCATCAGCATATGGGGGCTGTATACCACCTAGGGAGAATTTTGAATGCAAGTACTAGTAAGTCCCATGAGAGACTTGATCATGCAGAGATATGATTAGAGCGGTTGGAGAGTTGGACTGCTCTATAGCTCATATTCACTTAAGAGAGCCCGATAAGTCAGAGGATAAGGTCGAGTAAGCGAACATTGCTACCAAGGAAGCTAAGGAGAACAAAACCGGCATGAGCCTTGCAACATGATGGTGGAGGCTATACATGTGAGTTATAGTTTGTCTTTCCATCGACCAAGGGGAACTTTTCGGAGAACACAAAGGTGTTGAAGCAAGTGGTCGAAAGGGGCGAGGAAGCGATGACAAGTCTAGAGAGACTTAGCTACCAAAAACCAAGCATCGATTAGAATGAAGGTGGACTCGGAGAAATGTCATAATGTTGCGAAGGTGGATATGTCGATCACGAAGAAAGGGATGTAGACGCAATGCGATGAATAGTAGGGCCATGGGCATAACAATGCTATGGTACCATAGAGGCAAGACTTCCATGGAGTCATCGTTCCCTTGCTCTCGTGGAGGGAGGCTCTCATGGAAGGAGAGCGCTTAGTCATGAAAGGGGCCGTAGATGTGTAAAATGCAAAGACAAACTCCAAGTACTGAGACAAGGTTGAAGGGCATAGGCCAAGAAATTTTGTAAGACCAGTGTCAATGTGCTTCTCATCAAAATAGCAAAAAGTGGATGACTTCGAGTCAATGTAAGAGTGCTCGATTAAGGAACGTAGAAGGCAGTACGTGGTGTTGTACCTTTGATACTCAAAGGAGTAGATGACAGAGATGATGAAGAAAATGGTATAATCCCAGAGATGACCAAAACTATTAGAGACTTGCTCCAAGTTGGGATGAAAACTTCTTGCCGCCTAGAAGTTCAATGACATTGAGAAGGTAAGTCACAATAGCCAACTCAACGCAATGAGTGCAAACACTTCGAGTGCTTTAAAAGTGTGAGCAAAGAGTGGGCGAAGGCTAGTAACCTACTCGATGCATGAAGTACAATCCTCGAGAAGGCGGGCTAACTCAAGTAACATTTGCCTTCTCAACTCTTAAGAGAATGGGTGAAACTGAGTACTTCAATTCTTTTATTTATCCAATAGAGGAGTTCTACATAGGTGCAAAGACCCTTCGAAGAAACTTAAGGGAATACAATAGTTGTTAAATTCTCACCAATGCTATTGAGAGTATATTATATGCTTCATTTCTCAACAGAATGCCAATCAAAAGCGGAAGTGATGCGAACTTACTTGGAAGTGATAACTAAGTGGAAGAAAAGTCGATGGGCAAATTTTGCGGAAAAAAGACTCGAAAACTTTAAAATCTACGAGGTGATACTCGTTAAAGCTCCAACAAGCATCCTCCAAGTTCAAGTGGCATGAGGTATTCAAGAGACTAGCGCATTCCAAGGATGGTATTTTCCTTCACCCGAGGGATTCGCAAGAACCAACAGGGATTAGCACAACTCAACCGACCCCACACTAGAGTCAGGGACATTGGTGAGTTGAAGTAGCATGGTAAATCAAAGATCGACTATTCAACAATAGCGGTAGAGTGCAGTTGGGAGTCAAGAGACACATTGCAGTTGGAGTAGAACATTGAAGACTTAGTAAAGACGAAGAGATGCAGCGTTTACAAAGGCATCGACGAAGACATTGAAGGAATAAGTGAGGGAAGAATGTCACGGATAGAATTGTAAACGAGGTGTTTGATGTAATGCTCATACATGCTCGTTTCTTTCGGTTATATTCATGCTTTGTACAACATGTAGAGGGCTAAAAGTAGGCTTAACAGTCCTATTTTGGTTGACTTTAGTGGTCGCTTTAAATTTGTAAATGAAGGTTGTATCACGTGGACAGTTGTGGGCATTTCAATTTGTAGTGGACCATTTTGAACCATTTGTTGTACGACCGTTCATAGTTTATGAAGTCTATGTTTGTAATTTGCATTAGCTATGAAGTGTTTGCTGAAATGGTTACTTGTGAATCCCGAGTGAAACATTTTCTCTAACCTATTTTTTCTTTTGTAGGTCCTAAGGGATGAATCATAGGAGGTTTGGGGGATGTTGAATTTTGTGAACGGACACACTAAGGTGTTGCACGATGTAGACAAAACTAACTAAATTCATGACACTATAATTTTAGGGTTAGTAAAAGAGAGTCCTTGTGTCATCAGCTGAGATATGCTATACATTGCTATACATATTAGGTTTCGGGCAAGATGAACAATATTAGTTATTAGTATCAGCACATGAAACGAGAATTGATAATCTTAAAGAGCAGGAATATCAGGAAGCGTTGGAAATAAAAGAGAGAGAGATCTTAACCTCTTGAGTGTGCACAGAGCACCTTGAAATCAAGTCTATAGTATTTATCTTGTTAAATCTATAACTCTTAATGTTTTATTTTATTTTTTCTTTGTATTATGGATATCATTTA